CTTTATATGAAATGATATAATCAAGCACAGAAACCCTTTCTTTTTATTGCCGCATCTTAATTCTTAGAAAAATAATTTTTTAGAATTAAGATGCGGCAATAATAAGAAAGGGTTCCTGTGCTTGATTATATTAGGTTAGTGCTTCTGCCTTTGTAGCACTGGGGGTACTTCAGTTTTTTCCCACCGTCCCAAGACATGCTGGTAGGTTAATTGGCTAATGTGTAAAATTGGCCCTGTGTGCATATGAGATAGGAGCCTTCCATTGTAAGCTCCTTGAGGGCAGGGACTGATGTGAATTTGCGCTGTGTAAATTGTCGACGCTATATAAATACCTGAAATAAATAAATATATACAAGTTGGTAAGATTTACACATTGGGATACACTATTAGTGGCAAGTTTTAAGGCGCTGTATTTTTATATGATAATTTATACCTTGAGCCAGTTATAGCTATGAGGATACACAGCAGCTTAGGACAAGGATTGCCTTTGGTCCAGAGCAGTTTCTATATAAAGATAATGGGATCTATTCACAAAAGGGTGAAGAGTTTGGAGAAGGCAGAAGTGAACAATCTAGGCCAAAATAGCTGATTTGGAAAGAAATTTCCAATTCAGCTCACCTTCCAGTTCAACTATGTTGTCCTAGATTGTTCACTTCTCCTGCCTTCTCCAAACTCTTCACCCTTTTGTGAATAGACCCCCAAAATATCTTCAATCTTCATGTTTTTTAGCATTTTCAATCAAATATTAAATTCTGTTTTATGTTGCTGTAATATATTCAAACTATACACATGCTATGATTATGCTTTTCATAAAGTATTGGACAGCTTTGGTTATGTTAAACACCTCTTAAGGGTTAACTAGACCTAACCTAAAAAGCACTCTATGCTGTGATTACTGTGACCAGACTGGTGCCAAGAGATGCTGTAATATGTATAAGGCTGAAAGCTTCCCTGCAAATGATGCCTAATATTGCTTTGTTCATTTAATATATGTAACGTGACTGCTCATGTTTTCCACAATCTCTTAATTATAGAAAAACTCATCTTAGCACTGTTTATATCTAAAATGGCTACATCATATAGCCCCAATGTAATTGCAGAAATACATCACAACTATTTCTGTGAAAAAAATGACAGTTTATGAAATCCCTAGGGCTGTATAGGTACCTAAGGACAGATCGGGGGAATGCTCATATATCTGTGGGCTGCTCCAAAGCTATGCAGACATCATTAAGGCAACTGATCTTGGGGTAAGAATTAATTGGCCAGGATGGAATTCCCAGATGATTCCTATGGTTCTCCAGAGATAAGGCCGAGATAAGGCTACCTGGGCTGTTTGCACAGTGCACAAAAATACACATATGAAGCTGTCATTATGTTTGTTAATATCATGAACATTCTACAGAATGACTGTATGATTGTGTTTTCTGCCTTATGTCTATTGCCTCCTTTACAGTAATACACATATGGAAGAATGAAACATTACCACCACTATGTGGCCACTCTTGCTCCTCAGCTTGCCAGAGTTGAACATATCTGAGTCGAGAACTAAAATTGTTCTGCCTCCACAAAGCAATAGTAGACCTCCTTCTTGTGTCTTATGAATTGGTCGTGATGATGCAATGGTAGAGGCCAGCTCAGACACAGCATGCGTCCTACTGACTCCCAATATGTGTAAAGCAGAGTAACAGGGACAACTACATTTTAGGTTTCTGGTTTGGGACAACTAATATGCTTATTAGCAGCCATCCATGCTTAAAAACATTTTAAATAAGACGTATCCAACACTGTAAGCAGCTTTGTCCCTATAGACTAATGAACATTTTCATGTGGATTAGAGTTTTTTTTTTAATGTTAATAATTACTGGGATTTCACCCTTTTAAATAGGTCATAATCTATTTTTATGGTTATGATGGACAGCATTTTTATCATTCTCTAACATTTTACAGGTACAGGCTGAGATTTACCATTCACTGATCGAAAGAAAAAAAGCTACTGGTATTGACACTCACAGCATAGCATTGTCGGGCATGCAGCAATACACAGACCACTGACACACATTATCAGGTAGGGATCAAACGTGCAGGTTGCTTTGACATACTGTTTTAACAAGTTGGGTATGTGGACTAGCAGAGCTGTTATTGTTAGGTCAAATATTACACTTTAACAATACCATTTCCCTATGTAGCTACATAAAATATAGTATACATGTATGGAATAGGAGTATTATGGAATAGTCTATTCTCTTTCCCTAGTACACATATAGCAATATTCCATGTTTGCTTATGTTTTTGTACCACCATTGATCCCCCCCCACTACATCTGCTGGCCATCGCTTATAAAAAATCTACTTTTCTTTACAGTATCTGCTGCCTCTTTATATTTTGCAATTCAGGAGGTCGCCTTCGTATTCTAGTTCCTCAAATCTTTTGTGAAAGAATGTGGGATTTGCCTATGGTATGGATTCGATCCATCACTAATAATTTCTTCTCATGCATATTATGTGATGAAAGGAATTACATTGATTATGTGCTTTAAATAGCATCACAAAGTCCATAATATGTAAACTATGTATACTGTTCAGTAGTCAGTGGGTTAATGTAACAAAGAAGCAAACCAAGAACCATAATTAATAGCACAGTAGTGATGCTTCAAATGCAGCAATTATAAACAGTTTACTGACACAGCTGCTTTTTATTTCTTCACCTGAACCCTGTGGCACAGTTTTATTGATTGTGTTCCATTTTAATTACACATAAGGTAATTTGCGTCTTATATATAGCTTCTTACATTCATTTTGGAACCCTTTAGACATTTTTAGAATGGGATGTTATACGTGAAAACAATCTAAAATGCATTACTTTATTAAAAAGTGTCACTTGAGCGCAATGCTATAAGAATGTATTAAAGAAATCAATTCTATAAATGCCTCCACTTCATAATGCCCTCCAGAAAGCAAAAAAAAAAGCAAAAACATTAAAGAATGATATTTTGATATTTTCAGTGTCTGCAAAATAAATACACAAGATGACAATTTCGAGACAATTAAAAATGTCCTTTTAATACTCATGTGTAAAAAAAGACATAGGAGAAATTACAGTAGTAACTGTGATAAAATTCGACATTAGATTGTTATTAACAATTTTGTTTACTGTTCTTTCTTTACCCACAACAAAAAAGAACAGAAGTGGTAACTCAGACAAATACAGTTGTAGGTAACAGTAAGAGTTCCTTTGGTTGCAAGCAATGAAGTATCTGCTTACTTAGCACAGAATCCACTGAGATGACCGACACGTACGAAAGACTAAAATGCTTTTTTTTTATTATTCATTTAAAAAACAGAACAAAATCAAGATAAAATATGATGTGATAGCACCAGAATTCATGGGAAATCACCCTTTCTCAAGGGTGATTATACATTCTGGCTTGAATTAAAACCAGACACTGCTTCTGTGGAAATAGAACTGAACGAGTGGTAGTAAATGACCATAATTGGCCATATTCATAAGCTAATTGAATACATGCAAACCAAAGAATGAGCAAGGAAGCAGAGAGTAATGGGACGATGAAGAACAGGACTGCATATAACTGGGCAGTTTTTCCCATTACTAATTATGTGTACAAAAAGGGAATGTCAAATCTCTTTACACTGAAGCATAGGCAGATCAAAATGCAAAACTTTAAGCCCACTGCAATCTTTTTTTTTTTTTTTAATTAAAGATTAGATCAATGGAACACTTTGCTTTTGCACGGGGCCTTTTGATGCTATATTTATAGAGTATTTGTGCTCCAATAGATGTTACGCTACATTTTATTATAAAGTTCCCCAAGAATGCCGTGTATCACAGCGTAATCGGTTATAGATTTTTGAGGAGGGCTTTGGGACAGGTGTTTTGCAGTAAGGTGAGTACAAGATGATCTGTATAAAGCATAGAAAAGTGACATTTATTCTGATTTTGTTTTTTAAAAAACACTGTTTTATATACTACTCTTAAAGAAAAGAATATCACTCGACATACAGTCACTGGCATATGAAAAAGTCCTGTGAAACACAAATTTGGTGGGAAAAAAAAAAAAAAATCTTAGGGTGTTCATTGGTTTAATGGTACTCAAATATAGCTTAGTGAAATGTTCCACCCACTAAAGAGTGTTTGTGGAGCCAGCATCTGAGCCACATAAAACAATCATCATTTGGAAACAAGCAGAGTATATATTCAGCTTCAATCCTGTAAAAACGAAGCAGGACTATACACTGGATTTTTACAAATCGTATTAAGACCATTCGAACTCTAGCTTATACATTCCATGCCATCATGCAGGCAACCAAATATAACAGAAGTTAGTGCGGTTGACCTTTTTAACATTTGTTATTCTGTCATTTTTTTTTATTTTTTTTTTTATTCTCTTCCATATACAGACAGCAATTGATTTCCCAGGGATAAAACAAAAAGCACACATTGCTATTTACAGAAAATATTTAATTAAAAATACTTCATAATTACAGTAGTCTATTAAAGCATATACTTTTATCACTTACACTTATAGAACATCTCTATATATATACAGTATGAAATGTCACTCTTTTGTTTTGTTTTTTAATTCTCTATACAATATGTAACATTCCTGCAGGGAAAAGAAAATTCCCTTGCCCGATAAAATCATCTATTTTAAACAATAGATGCAAAAAAAAAAAGACAAAATATCTACAATACTCTGGTAGATTAGTAAAGCTTGAGATTTCAATTTCAGTTGTCCATTGGATAGCATATGCTTTCTATGATGCACTCCCCCCAATCCCCACACCCCCATACTCCATCAGTTCAGGGACTTCCACAGTGCAAGGACAATTCACGTCTGTTGTAACAAGATGATGAGAAGGACAGTGTTAAGTGGCATGAGCGTGCACAAATGGCGGACAGCTATATTCTCCGTAGTGTGTAGAAGCGATGTGTAGATTGCTTTTTCCCTCTTTTGTCTGGTGACTGTTTTTTTTATTTTTTTTCCTTTCCCCTCCCTTATTCTCTAATTTGTCTCTCTCTTTCTCTCTGTGCTCCTCCTGGCTCTGGATTTGCCTGCTGCACACCTGTGGAAGAGGAATGAATAGAGGGGGTGTGTGAACCATTCTGCTCCAGACTGACTGGCGCCACCAACAAAACACAAGACATGCTTGATCAACAACCCAAAACAAACCAGGTCAAACTACAAGCACAGCTCCCAAGCCAGCCCGAGCATAGGAACGCAGCTGCAATGGACTGCTCAGTCCATGCTGTGTCTCTGCCATCGGGGCTGTGTCTTATCTAGTCTGACCCCCACCCAGGGCTGTATTTAAACACTGGGCTGCTCTAGGCACACCTGAAAGATGAAGCTGTTTTTGGACAGACTATGCGTCTTGTGTCACATCATTAGTTTAGTAAAAAAAATAATGCCATGACGTGCTAAGGGAGGCAGCTTGTGGTCTGCGTTAACAGCAGGGCTTCTTCAACTATAAAGAGACTTATGTCTCTCCTAACGTTCCCTACAAAGGTCTCCTTATAAATTTAGAAAAAAAATAAAATAAAACACAATATGTAAATATTGAAGCTGGATGCTGCCCCTTCTAACCCTGCTGCCCCAGGCTCTGGTCCACGAGTGCCATGATAGCAGATACAGCCCTGCCCCCACCCCAGGGGAAAAAAAACCCATCTCCTCTAATGTAATACAATCTACAAAAAAAAAGGAGGGGGGGAACACAAAAATCAGGAACTGCCTTTACATTCAACATAAATCTGCCAGATTAAACATTAACCATTGTCTGGGCTGCTATTCTGACTTTCGGTCAATCAATCACATAATGACATGAGATGGCTATCTTGGATAGACTGCTAGCACAAGCCATAGCAATCAGGAGTAAGCAAAAGTTGAAGACTCACCTTAAAAGACATTCTAGAGACACAGTATACTGTCTCCCTGTTTGTTCACAACTGATGCAGCCTGCGATTAAAAAGAAAAAAAAAGAGATATAGATGGGTTGTCGGAGAGCAAGTCATGCAGATAGAAAGTATACAGTCAGTGATGGATCATAGCATGACCACTGGCTGCCTAGAGTAGACTGTGACAGGTCACACTCCAGCGATCAGAGCATCACACAAAAGGCTCAATTCACAAAGCTAACACACCAGGATAAGGATCTTATTTTGAAAAAAAAAGTGACAGTTATTTTCAATGAGATTTCAAAAGTACAGTAACATGGATGAAAATAAAGACCTTTATCCTTGAGCTAGGGCTTTGTGATTTGAGCCTGATCATCTTGGCCTGCCTGCTTCTCATTAAAATCTGACATAGTCCAGGCAATTGGCATGGAGCAACGGACTTCACAGCTACAGTGGGCTCAGGGTGACAAGGAGCTTTACAGCTTAACTGGGCTCAGGGTGACAAGGGGCTTCACAGCTAAAGTGGGCTCAGGGTGACAGGGAGCTTTGCAGCTGAACTGGGCTCAGAGTGAAAATGGGCTTCACAGCTTAACTGGTTTGAGGGTGACAAGGGGCTTCACAGCTAAACTGGGTTCAGGTTGACAAGGGGCTTCACAGCTAAACCAGGTTCAGGGTGACAAGGAGCTTCACAGCTAAACCGGGTTCATGGTGACAAGAGGCTTCACACCTAAACTGGGTTCAGGGTGATAAGGGGCTTCACGGCTAAACCGGGTTGAGGGTGGCAAGGGGCTTCACAGCTTAACCGGGTTCAGGGTGACAAGGGGCTTCATAGCTAAACTGGGCTCATGGTGACAAGGGGCTTTACAGCTAAACCGGGTTCAGGGTGACAAGGGGCTTCACACTTAAACTGGGCTCATGGTGACAAGGGGCTTTACAGCTAAACCGGGTTCAGGGTGACAAGGGGCTTTACAGCTAAACTGGGTTCACGGCGACAAGGGGCTTCACACATAAACTGGGTTCATGGTGATACGGGGCTTCACAGCTAAACTAAACTCAGGGTGCCAAGGGGCTTCTCACATAAACTGGGTTCATGGTGCCAAGGGGCTTCTCATATAAAACGAGGTTAAGGGTGACAAGGGGCTTCACACATAAACTGGGTTCAGGGTGACAAGGGGCTTCACACAAAAACTGGGCTCAGGGTTCAGGGCAAGGGGCTTCACAGCTGGGAAAGAGCCATCCCAAGCAATGAGAAATCCACATTCACTGTATCTGCTAATGAATACGATTGCAACACATTTTCATAGAAACAAAATTATATAAACAAGAAGAAGAGCCAGCTGCTTTCCACTCATCATGGACAAAACTACTGCTTTCTGTTTCAAGAGGGAACTTGCAGAAATAAATAAGCCATAGCAGAGAAGTGAAAGTGCTCGTTCTCCCTGTGTGGGACTGATGGAGAAGAGAGGATCCTTGTGTCAGGTGGATCTGCCCTTTGTCACATGCCAGAGCTGTCATTAGAGCGGCTGAGTTCAGTGAGCGGGTGTAGCGGCGCCGCAGCAGTCGCGCAGCATCTGACATGTGAAGCCCAGACCAGCCTCGCCTGCACAATACAGCGGTCTAGGTGGGTGGCCGTCTCTTACCGGGTCATTATTGAGGTCCGTTAGCGGGGTTCTGGCAGGTGCTTGCTGTCTGAGCAGAGCAGGGTGTGTGTCCAGTGCCAGCTGCAGGTCCAGGATGTAGTCAATGACATGCTGCAGGATCTCCACTTTGCTGACTTTTTTGTTCTGCGGAATGGTGGGCACCAGCCTTTTCAGCCGGCTGTAACAGTCATTCATGTCATACTGCAGGCACAGGGACCCCTCTTCTTCCATCTTGTAAGCAGCTACACCGAGGCTGTGCTCGGAGAGGCAATGCAGAGCCAGCTCCCCGCACACACCCGGCGCCGGGGCTTTCCTACTATGGGGGCGAACGGGGCTCACAGCTTTCATGGCGAGCTCTGCGCAGGACACCGCTTATCTCTGCCGTTCAGCTGATCTGCAGCATGCGACGCTTTAATCCAAGGCAGAGACCAGATGGAGCTCCTTCTTCTTCTTCACAGCAGTTCCTTAATAGGTGCGATGTGACAGCGAGCGGATGACAGCGCGATGTGCAGAGTCTCTACCAGACAACGATCGCTCCCTACTCCCTGCTCTGCAGCCTCAGCTCTGCCTCTCTGCTGCCTTATTTAAAGCATGGAGCTGGTGGGGAGGAGGGCGAGGATAGGGAAGGGAGGAGTGTAAGGGAGGGGTAGAGGAGGAGGAGGAGGAGGAGAGGGGGGGGGGACCAGGCACTGACATGGGGGTGAGACCGCGATCAGGAACTGGGAACAGCTACTGACTTCTCACCCATCGCTCTCCATACGTTCTGCCATTTGAATAAAGCATCAGTCAAAGTTTTAGGATAGCCAAAGAAATAGGAAGGTTAGCAGATCATTGTGTGAAATCATAGGAGGAGGTGACATGGAAGGACATTCACAGTAATCACAATGGCATTGTACAAGGCAATGGTCAGTGCTGGGAATTGATGGCTTATGATCTGCATGGCTACAATAAAGCATCATGGCTGTAGTTTATGGAGAAAAACAGTTACTTTACATATCCCTGTACTGTATAGCTCACTGACAATATTTGAAATCAATGAGGTTTACTTGGATTAATACGATGGCAATTGGATTATGTATGTAGGCAGCTCTCTGCATATATTGATTCTAGCGATATACTGCTTGCACAGACATCTCTCCCTTCCTCTTTCCCTCCCCTCTCTTCTCCCCCCTCTTCTCTCTCTCTCTCTCTCTCTCTCTCTCTCCTTCTCTCTCCTGTCTTCTCTCTGTCTCTCCTATCTTTTATTTTCACCTCTCTCTCTCCTATCTTTTTTTTTTTTTTACCTCTCTCTCCTGTCTTCTCTCTCTGTCTTTGCTATTTTTTATTTTTATCTTTCTCTCTCCTGTCTTCTCTCTTCTTCTCTCCTGTCTTCTGTTTCTCTCCTGTTTTCTCTCTCTGTCTCTCCTCTTTTATTTTTACCTCTTTCTCTCTTCTTCTCTCCTGTCTTCTGTTTCTCTCCTGTTTTCTCTCTCTGTCTCTCCTACCTTTTATTTTTATCTCTCTCCTGTCTTCTGTCTCTCTCCTGTCTTCTCTCTCTGTCTCTTCTACCTTTTATTTTTACCTCTCTCTCTCTCTCCCGTCTTCTCTCTTATTCTCTCCTGACTTTTCTCTCTTTTTCTCTTCTGTCTCTCTCCTGCCTTCTCTCTCTGTCTCTATTTTTTATTTTTACCTCCCTCTCCTGCCTTTTCTCTTCTTCTTTTTTTCTCTCTCTCTCTCTCTCCATCTCTCTCCCTCTCTCGCTCTCTCTCTCCCTCTCTCCATCTTTTCTTTCTACCTTTCTCTCCTGTCTTTTCTCTCCCCTCTCTTTTCTTCCCTCAATCCTTCTCTCTCTCATTCTTCCCTCTTTTCTTTTTGCCTCCTCTCTTCTCTTTAACACTTTATCTTCTCTCCCTCCCCTGTCTTTTCCCTTTATCTCTTCTGTCTCTCTTCTCCCCTGCCTTCCAATCTTTTCTTTTTACATCTCTCTCTCTCTTTCTCTCTCTCACCCAACTATTCTTCTTCCCCCTGTCTTCTCTCTAGTTCCCCCATGTTTCATTTTACATCACTCTCTCTCCCTCCTCCGCCATATTTTCTTTTTACCTCTGTCTTTTCTATATTCTCTTTCTTTTTCTCCCCTGCCTTCTATCCCTCCTTCTCCTATCTTTTCTTCTTACATCGCTCTCTCTCTCTTCCTACTTCTCCCCATTATTTTTTTGTATCTCTCTTTCCTATCGCCTCTCACTTTTTCTCCTGTTTTCTCTCTCTCCTTCTGCCATATTTTCTCTCTATCTCTCTTTATTCTCTCTTCTTATTTCTCTTCTTTCTCTCTCTAGTTCTGGAGACATCCAAATTGGTCTTGATTCAGTAGTAATGTTGTTTTATTAACTTCCTTACTCTACCCACGACCCTTTCATTAATTTATTTCCATTTTTCATCTTCTGTACCTGTCTTTACCGCTATTGAAATATATCAGATTTGCATAGTTTATTTTTAAAATGCAAGGAATTCTAGACATGATAAAGACAATCAAGATGAATGCTACGGGGTTATCTTCTGAACCAAGTCATTAAAACATGCCAAAGGGAACACACAGTGATAGATGTGCCTGTTGTCAAGTAGATATCACTAAGAGTTGCAACTATAGTGTTTGGTGTGCAGGTGAAACATAATTACATAGTAATGAGACATTACCCTCCAAGGAGCAGAATGGCCTGCTCGCTACCATTTCCAGTGACACAAATGTCGATGACGGGGTTTATTTGCAAAATGGGTTTTTATGACCAAGAAAGCACCTGCCTCTGAAATGCATTGTGTCATACAAAAGATCCCATGTTTTGCTTCATTGTCTTTACCTAATGTATCTGAAAGATCTTTGTTATACATAAAAAAAGAACTACTATTTTCAGTATTTTACATTTCTATGTATCATTCGTACATAGAAATTTGATAAATTTTACATTTGATAAAATCAGTAATATTTTAGCACTAGCGTGGTAGCCTGCTAAAATTAAAATGTATGTCCAGCCATAGCTTTTTTTTTTTAGTTTTGGATAGAGTGGCGAAGGGTTAGAACCCATTTGTTTTGTAACTGTGTTTCAGGACGCATTTAGGAGGAGAATTATACATTTTCCCTCACTTCCTGTTCTGCTGATGTTTTTTACTGAGACGAAGTTTGGGGAACTCTCCAACAGTAAAAGTCCATATGCCCATCGCATTCCCGAACACTTAAGAATGAGCAGGTGGGTGCAGCGGTGTTTGACCGATGACACCATCACATTCACATGATATGAATAGAACACCAGCACTCCAACAGTACGGCCCCTTTCACCCGGGCAGTCAGATCAGGTCCGCTATCAGTTTTCCAGCAGACCCGATAGGATGCCCAATGCTAGTCTATGGGCAGCCATGTCTAAATGGACGGGCGTCTGTTTACAGCTGGCTATCTCACACTCTAGCAAGTTCCAGAAAGACGTGTAGATGTGTCTTTGGTGAAGGCCTTTGGGCAGATTCCAGTCTAACAAATATAAGGCAGGCATTATGTCAATTTGTTGCAAAAGTGGAAAAACTCCTTAGGTAGAGTAGGGGAAGCAGTTTTTATTTCTGTGTGTGTCCTCATTGGATATTTTCCCTCACTTCCTGTCTGGTGGAACCATTGTTTGAAGGACAGAATGTGAGGGTAAATCTCTCTAACCGAACCCCGGATAGCGATAAAGACTATTGCTATCAACACTTTCAGTGTTGATACCCCAATTGACATAGGGGGGAATTTATAAAAACTGGAGCAGATGTACAGTACATCGCAACCAATAAGCTTCTCTCTCCAGTTTCTTCAGTTAAGATTTAAAAATTAAACAGAGAAGCTGGTTGGTTGCCTTGCACAGCTGCTCCAGGTTTTGTCTGCTCGAGTTTTGATACATTCCCCTCATTGTATATTATAGTACGACTGCCAGGGAATTAGAACAGAAAATATAAACTAGATCAAATAGTACAACTGATTGTATTGGCCAGCATACGTGCCCTTATTAGGACCAATGTATTATTTTGTTAATGTCGAATCATTTCAGTTAAATGTACATGCCATTTAGCAGAAAACATCAGAGACAATTTTGTTCATACATTTTGATTTAAAAGAAGAAACCTTTAATAAAAGGAATACAGAGGCTCCCGTTGCTAATGACCTGGCTTTTATGTTAATCATTTGACATTCTGAGCCACTGAACTGGAACAAATATAAGATCAGAAATTCTGCCTTCTTGTGCTTCACTCCTTTTCTAGGTCAGTGACACAAAAAAATATTGAGGACAACTAACATTTCATGGTCTAGAGGTCAGCAATAGGAGCTCTAGTGCTTCACTTATAACAGGATACCTATCTAAACCCAAAAACAAAAATGTTAAATATTGACGTGTACCATTCTGTACATGTAGTGGCTGCATTCATTTTCTTTGTTTCAAGCTTTTTATCCTTTATTTTCACCTGCTGAACCTACCAGCAACACAGTTCCTGTCCAAGGGTAACAATGATCACTGTACTGTATTTATGGGGGAGCAGCACTGTCACCCCAGGATGCTCTCCTGATTTGGGCTACAAATACCTCTCCCTCAGTTTCATTACACAGGGAAGAGGGGTTCTGTAGTCCACAAATGATAGCTGGAAAAGCTGATAACATTGTTTGAGATTTCAGTTCAGTTATAAGGAGGCTGCATTTATGATTCTGTTCTTGGCTTGAAAAAAATGAATGAAGCCAATATAAGGAATTGAAAGCTGCAATATATTACATTTTTGTTCTTGGGTTTAGATATCCTTTTGGACTTATCCTGGCCATACATACAATTAATTACAATGTAATATTTACAGTATTAGCCGTATGTTAAACTTTACTGAAATCTCATTGCGTGTTGAGACATATACAGTAAAGCAATAAACCAACAAATGGACTAGTTTGGTTATTTAGGACATTTTCTCCAGCCTTTATTTAATGTATTCCTTTAAGATATTAAACTATGTGAAGATCTGCACTACACAGGAAAAGTGCCATTGCAGCAACTTTATGGAAGTAATGTGTAGGTTTTAGACCCCGTGGTTGGTCAATATCTAAGGACATTGGGTGCATCAAAACAAATGTTGGACAATTTGTTTCCTTTAGAATGTAAGCACAGCCTGAGTAGAAAGATATATCCCTTGGCAGCATGCTGTAGAGAAGGACCCTTGCATTTTGCATGAAAGCAGTGGTCTCTCTGCAGCGATCCATCATGCACCATGCTGAGTAAGATCTATAGCCCTTTAAACGAGAACTATGAGGTGAGTGCTTTTCACTCATCCTCATAGTTCTAGCCGACCTGTGACAATGGGGTCTATTCACAAAGCTGCCGAGGGCAGCCGAGTGAATGACCGATCAGAAGTGAAGTGAGCCAAACACTGTTCGGCTATTCACT